TTTCAGCCAAGATCCATCAGACATCTGAAATGATATCTCTCATTCTACGGCCTCTTCTGAATCCAGCTTGAACCTCTGGAAGTTCTCCAGAGAACTTCCTTATGCTTGCAACCGTTTCTGTGTTACCTTTAGTAAAACTTTATTCACATGGGATGTCAAAGAGATTTCTGCATTCTGTTCGGTCACCTCTCTTTGGAATGGGCACAAATATTGATTTCTTCCAATCATTCAGCTAGACAGTTTTCTTCCAAATTTCTTAGCATAGATGATTGAGTGTCTCCAGTGCTGCCTCAGTTTCTTGAAAGATTTCAATTTTTATTCCATTAATTCCTGGTGCCTTGTTCTTTGCCAATTCCTTCAATGCACCTTGGACTTCTTCCTTCAGTATCATTGTTGTTAAGTGCCATCGAGTCGGTTCCAACCCATAGCGACCCTGTACAGGCTTTCCGAGGGTGTAAATCTCATTGTTTCTTCTTTATTTGCTACCTCTTTAAATGGTTGAACATCAACCATTTCATTTTGGTACAGTGACTCTGTGTGTTCCTTCCATCTTCTTTTGATGCTTTCTGCAACATTCAATAATTTGCCCAGGATGGTTGGTTGTTTATGTGCCGTGGAGTTGGTTCCGACTCATGGCAACCCTGTACAGGTTTTCTGAGGCTGTAAATCTTTACAGGAGCAGAAAGCCTCATCTTTCTTCCACGGAACAGCTGGTAGTTTTGAACTGTTCACCTTGAGGTTTGCAGCCCGATTCATAACCATTATGCTACCAGAGCTCCTTAATTTGCCCAGAGAATCCTTCAATAATGAAAGTTGAGGCTTGAATTTTTTCTTCAGTTCCCCCAGCTTGAAAAATGCTGAGTATGTCCTTCCTTTTTGGTTTTCTGACTCCACATCTTTGCACATTTTGTTGTAGTATTTGACTCTGTCTACTCCAGATGAAGGAGCTCTGGTAGTGTAGTGGTTACAAATTGGGCTGCGAACCTTAAGGTCAGCAGTTTGAAAATACCAGCCACTTCGCGGGAGAAAGACGGCGCTTTCTGCTCCAGTAAAGATTTACAGCCTCGGAAACTCTGTACAGGGTCGCTATGGGTCGGAACCGACTCGACGGCACTTAACAACAACAACAACTCCAGATGACCTTGGAAATGTTCTGTTCAGCTCTTGTACCTCCTTATTTCTTCCATTTGCTTTAGCATCTCTACGCTGGAGAGCAAGTTTCAGTGTCTCTCTGACATCCATTTTGATCTTTTCTTCTTTCTTGTCTTCTTAATGACTTTTGATGTTCTTGATGTCATCCCACATCTCTTCTGGTCTTCAGTCTTTTGTATTTAATGCATCAAATCTGTTCTTTAGGTGATCTCTACATTCAGGGAACAAAAAATAGCATAATGATAAGTGGAGAAATGATTGAAATTGACAAATAATTCATGCTACTTGTATCCACAATCAACACTCATGCTAACACCTTGAAGAGGAATGGTGTTGCAGTTTTCATTAAAATGAACATTTCAAGCTCTATCTTGAAGCCCATCACCCACCAGCACACCTAGTGAGCATGGCCCTACACCCCACCACCACTTCCCTGAGTGCCTGCAACTAGAGGGTGCTGCCATGGAATGCCTAGACAAAGTGGCAATGAATGCCCTGCAGCCACCCAAGTTCAGGAGTGAAAGATCATTACCCTCTTAGATGAAGACATTGCTATTCTTTAGTCTAGATGATCATGGTTCCTATCAGGTTATGTTTCACAATTAAGACGTATATATTGGAAGGTCAAGAGATCAGATGACGTATTGCATTGGGCAAATCTGCTGCACAGGAA